ACCACTGACTATGCCCACTGTGCTGGCTGGAAGTGTTGTTTGACATCCTGTACTTGGCAAGTGTTCTTCTAATTCATGGTGGAGTAGCTCAAAACCATAAAAGTGATAAAGCTTGTGCTTAATGTCATCTACATTCAAAAGAAACACATACACCACATACAAATGAATAAATTATCATTATTAATGAATTTGAATTTTTTATTGCTTTTATAGAAAGGTACCAAACCCTAAACACATAAACAAGATTGCTGCCATACTTTAAAAGCAATTGAGTTTTCACAAAACTGAAGAACTATAGACTACCAAAAAATAATAGGTTAGTTTGGAGAAATTATAAGTTTGATTGCATACTGGGCTAAATTTTTTTATCTGAACTGTAATCATACCTCTAACTTTCATAGTTTACTAAAGAATAATAGAACCTTTATTATATGTCTCGTTTTACATTTAAAAATATACATAATTAAATCTACCTAGATATTCACACTACATTAGAGGTGTTAAAAAGACCAAGATAATAATTATATGAGAGATATAATGTTTGTATTAAGAAAAATCTGTACTAATGCTTTATGATAAAATTATGCATTCATGTCTAATATATGACATGGTATCTAACATGGTATAAGCAATTTCATACACATATAAATATCAAATCCATTTCTTAATAATATCTCAAAAATAAAAAAAACCCTTTTATACTATCAATTAATCTTCTTGCTCATAATCTTACTGTAGTCTACCAGCAGCTTTACATGAGTTTTATTGTTTGTCTCAATATTTATACAATGATTTATTTGCTATCTTAGATTATATTATTATTATATAAAGGTAATAAAACATAAAATTCAAATTTAATGATGATAAAAAAATGATCTTATCTTCCCCAACACTTGTATTATTGTGCATTTCTCTGGATATGAATAGTAGCAAAATTTAGATAAATTTAACCTTGCATACAATCAAAAGTTCTAACATTGTAAAATTAGAAAAGAAGATTTATTTATCTTGGGTATGCTATATTTCCCAGTGGAGCTGGAGTCTCTATTAGTACTTTTTATTTAAAGTTGCTATTTAAAAAGTTAATGGTTTCAAAATAAAGCATAACAATGTGTTATATTTTTGAGAATGATACAACTCCACTAAGAAATATAGACAATAATAATTTTAATAATAATATAGACAATAAAATTTTTAATATTGATATTAGATATTTAATAAAATATAAAATATTATTATACCTCTGAAACCTTTCCAACCAGAACATTCTTTAGCAAAAGAACACATTTTATAACTCATAATGCATAAGATAACCACTATGAGATTTAAATGATGAAGAGACAAAATACATGGGAAATTAAAACATAGAATGAGAAAAGCTTATAGAAATAAGAGATTAAAATATTAAATGACTGGTTTATTTGAACTTCTCAAGAAATGTGTTTTAGGCTGAAAAATAATAGAATAGCTCCCAATTGAATACCCATGAAAGAAGCAGCAAAAAATGTACCATTATGAATTAGATTGAGGTTATCTAAATGCAGGTTGATGTTGAGAAAAATTACATGAATCCCAGAAAATAGATATAATACATAAAGAAATAAATAGAGAATATCTTTGAAATTACATAAATTGGCTGTATTAAAATGTAATAAGAATTGAATGTGAACACAATTAAAAGTATAAATACAAAGATGAATTATCATAAAATATAAATTATTTGTTTTATATATTATATATTATATTCTTTTAATTATAATTTCAGAACAGTAATTAATGAAGAAATTTTTCTTATGAAATAATGTATGTTTCTAGCTAAAACTAAACTGTTATTACTAAATTAGTATTTAACAGCACAAATATTTTCCTCGTCTATTTCACAATGTGCCACATTTTACTGGTGGAGGCTCGGTCTAATACACATTCTCATCCTCTAGGTCTCAAACTTCAACTGTTGCATGATGAAATATCACCATTGTGATCATAGATTTGTGATGCATACTTGAATGGAGTTTGGGAGCCTTTGGTATGGCAGTCTATACCTACACAAAACTTAGTTCATTTTCTCAACACTGAGAGTTCTTGCTGCAATATATGGATACTGCATGTAAAATGCAAGTCAATCATCCTACTTTTCTTCTTCTTTTGTACACTAATTCCATGTTTTTTGTTGTAGATTTTCTATCATTACAGAATTGAAAGGCAGAGAGTTTATGGTTGCGATAATCTTGCAGTGGTCTGGGTGGGATAAAATCCTAAAATTTTGTATTGTATAGCTGTTTTACAGTTTTGGAGCCAATTCAAATATCCAGTGTTTGCTTGAAATTTCCCAGCGAGGAGCCCACTGGTGATGGAGCAGCTTTGTGCACTGGCCAGTGAAAAAAAGCATAGATTACAACTTTACCTTTTTCTTGTAGATCTTGCATAACATTATAACCGTTAAAACAACACATATACAGTGTTCATGTAGAGAAGAGATCACTCATGAGAGAGACTTACAGCCTACTACCACTGCCAGTAACATTCCCTTCCAACTTCTAACTTCAAAACACTAATCTAAATTCTAGAATTTGAATGTAATATGAAAATAAAATATGGAGTTTCTTTCAAGACTTATTGTCATATAAATTCAAGAAGTACATAATTAAATTTTTTTCATGTAGATAGTGTTTTGTAATTTTACATCAAGCTTAAAATCTCTGTCATCCGATTTTTAAAATTAATTATACCTAATATTTAAATATAATAGATATCTGAATATATAAATTTTCAAGCTTATATCCCTGTTTTCTCATAATTTTTAGAAAATTGGTAGATTGAAGGTAATATGGATATAATAAATATTTTGTATAGTGGAGGATGTGCCACAAAAGACCAAGTTCATCAATACAACATCATAATCCATGATAATGTGTATCTTCTTTTGAAAAAATATAACTCTTTTAAAATTTTAATCTATAATTAATTCCCTCTTTATGGAGTGAATAGTTTTTAATTACTCAATCTTCGTTAAATGTAATTTGTAATGAAAAAGTTGTCTACAAAGCTTTAAGTATGATCTTTCCAGATCTCAATGAGTCCAATACCTTATAGACTTACATAGCAGCAACTATTACTTTAAAAAGAAAAACAATAACCTCAAGTGTTGTGACCAGATTTCCAGAACTCCACCACCCGTAAGTAGAGCTTTAGAGTATTATCTGGATAAAAAGTTTCTTTGCCCAATACCTTTAGCTAACAAACACCAATAGTATCAAAATATATTCTTTACTACATATAAGGGAAGCAAACTTTTCATAAACATGTCTTTTCCATGAGACGTGGCCAAGCAGTCATATTAGTAAGACCAGTTTATTTTGCAGCCTTCAATCTAAAGCTATAATGCTTTTGGCAAACATGGAGTACGTTGTCTGGTTGCACACACGAATCCCTACCACCAAAAGCGTTGCATCACCCTTTAGGCCTGGAAAACCTTCTAGAGAAGAACACTCAGCGTCCTTTTGGCCTGGACACCTTCCTGTTGAAGAACATACACAATGGCAAGCTTGACTTATGATTTCAGCACATTGCTAATCTTGAAATTGTCTGCATTAATTTTAGAAAGATGGAGGAAGAGGAGGAACATGGGGTCCTGAAAATGCCATTCACAGAATCCATAGCAGTGAAGGTTATATAAAATTTAAAGAAAAAGTACTTATAATGGCAGCCTCCAAAGACACACATAGTTGGCTGAGTTCTTAGAATCTGGTGATGCTTGCAGGCTTCTCTAAACTCAAGATAAGGGAGATCACGATTCATGAGCGAAAACACTAAAAGTGTACCTGATAGTTACTTGCTGTAATCAGCGTGAATCTCATACCTTCTTGGAAACTCTGTAAATCATAGTTTCCAGCAAGCTCCTGATGCATTGTATTGCTGTGTAAACAGGACTTAGTTAAAAAATAAATGAAGACCTTATTTTTAACAACCTTATTGTCTTGTGCCAGAAGTGAGACAAATTAAATGCTAGACTGCAACTCTTCTTGATGATGCTGCTGTTCTCAACATTTGGTCCATGGTCATAAAAGCTATGCATGTCCTCCAAAGACCTGTGATGAGAAACATTTGGGACTTACAAACAGCCTCTACAATGTACTTGGCAAGCCTGCCTTTGAGTATCTTCTTGTCTTTGAGTTTCATCCTGTTGAGGCAGTGACTTCAAAGAAGGATTCGCTCCTTGTGATAAGTTAATAAGTGACAGGGACAAATTAGAATAGTGGAGGCATGAGAATGCATAAGGTATCATATTGTATGAGGTACAATTCAGTAAAGTACTTTTTTCTTTTATAACTACAGAAGTTTTGAAACTCTTACAGAATAGAAGTCTCGTGGTCTTGGATGTGGCAAGTAAGAAACTTTGCTGTTGGGATCCAAGGCAGTCCACCTCAAACCCCAGATAAAGGAATAATGGCACAAATAATAGATCTTTACCTGTAATAACGAAGTAATGGACGACAATGAAGATTTGAAGCTTGGCAAGTTTGTAAGTTCGATTTCCCATCCCAAAGGGTGTGAACGTGAATGGAGATGCTCCATATTTCTAGTTAAAAATCCCAGCCAGAGTTACAGAGCATGGGTGAAAATCTCGTACCTCCCAGCTGGATTGAACTTTTCCGGATCAGGTTGGATCCATATGTACTTGTCTTAGCCACGCTTCCAAATCACTTGAACATCACTTGAGAGAAGAAGGAGACTCACTATTAAACTTGAGGTCTAACAAGGCTCTTCTAAAGACCATTGGGGATATTTTTTGCAAGTTGCAGTGTTTCATTGAGAGTAACTGAGAATCAAACGAAACAAATCTCGCCATGTAAGATTGCACTGCCTGAGCAAAGCCAGGCTTGTACGAGAAGAGCAGCCCACAGAAAAGCTTCCCATCGATGGACGCTTCTAATATGTATCTGTAGTTGAATATGTCGCTTACTCTAGCCTCGAACATCTTCTCGCCTAGCAGCTGAACATGAGCTTGAAACTCTGTAGCATGAGTTTGACAGGGAAAAATTGGAGAGGTCCAAGTTTTTCTGCAGATACCTCCGTGAGATGAAACCAAGCTCTTGTCCGCATCCCGTTGCTTGCCTAGCACGAATGGCGTGGCACGATACTCTTGCCGCCTTCTCTTAAGTTCCTTACGCATGGATAGCTTTGGTTCTGATGGATCTTTCTCCCTCAGCATCTCTTCACAGAAAAATGGCAACCATATTGTCAAGAATGGCAGCAATGTCAATTAAAGAAGAAGCCAACCTGTGTCGAGGAAATACATGTCATCCAGAGCTTCAAGCTCTTCGTTACATCCCCCATAGAAGAATCATATGCCTCGCTCTGCGTCCACGGAATCTCCTGCAAGGGAGAAACGTGGAGAAGGCCCAGGACCAGAGGGATTTGAAGTTGCCCAAACACCAGTTGCTACAAAATACGTAAAAGCCCCACGAGAGACTCACGTACTTTCCATGGCTGATTGTTGTGTGCCCGGCTCTTAGCATCAGCTCCGCACCAGTCGTCTTTACCTCCCGCCATGCCATTGTTTCTGGAAATGCAAATGAATTCGCAAGTTTAAAACCAGCACAATGTATGTACCTGTGCCCAGAATATAAACGTCGTTTAGATAGGCATTACCACCGTCCTCGCCACCCATGACAACGAAACAGTTCTTATAGAAAGAGCAGGTATGGCTATCCTAGGCTAACATCAGTTGCATTGCTAGGCTTGGAACAAATGTAGGTTGCGGCTTTTGGTAGGAGGTTTTTTGGTCCCTCACCAGGCTCGACGCCACCATTGCTGCAATTGGCCGGAATATTTTGGTCATCCTGGAACATCTCAAGTTAGAATCGCAGGGACGAAGATAGGGGGGTGGAGACTCTTTTACCAGATGATATTCTCTGTTGAATACTTTTTCCATAAGTGTGACTCTTTTCTTCACGAACTCGGTAATTCTACGAACTCTACAAACAGAGACAAATCCCTTCCTAGGGTTAGAAATAGGATAAATGAAACGTACCATCTACATATCAATCTGCAAAGCATATTTAAGCAAAGCATTCCCTCCCAGTCGATGGAGCGGTTGCAAATCTAGAATTGAAACAGTACCTCCCATATTGCCATCTTGGCCGTCTATATCAATCGTCACAGATTTGGACAGTTGGATTTTGTGAAGCATTCCACTCTCAACTGTTTTTCCCACGTGTCTTCATCTCCACCATTAAGCTCGAAAAGAATCTCAATTGAATATGTCGCCCTTACTCTTTTAAATATAGAAGGATAAAATCCTAATATCCAACATTGTAAATGTAAATAAATACCCAAGACTCAATCATGAAAACCATATCTTTAGTTATCCATATCACACTAACACTCTTCTTTATTTACCTTCAAGATCCAATGTAAAGCCAAAATAGTAAAATTTGACATGAAAAATCAAGCCCCAAGAAAAACTCCTTATCACCTAACCTAACAATGCCACTTCCACTAACACAATTGCTAGCAATGTGAATGCCTTAATTCCACATCTTTTCCATCCAACAACTTACTTCAAGTGCTAACATATTCATCATCATATTATAGCACATGAATGCTACAACCTTTTTTAAACCTCAATAAGTAAACTTTTAATGAACCAAGGTACTAACATGAGCTTAATATAATGGATCATCTTTGAAAACTCACTCAAAGCTACTATAATGTGTAAGCAACCAAAAAAGAATGATTTAAGAGATGATCAAATATAAAGGAAAAAGGCTTATGAACAAAAGTGCATATGTTTTTTTAATTGTTTAAAGATATTGAAACACTTCTCATTAAGTGTACTTGAGTTTGAGTAATACTGAGTTGGGTGGCCTCCTGGGAAGTTCAAATATAAAAGCTTATATTTGTCCCCAAACTCTTTATTGTTTAAATCTTGATTTTGGAATTTTTTAATTAACAACACTTCAAGGAAGTTATTCCTTATTTAAGGAGGTTTTTACTCTGGAGCCAAATAAGAAGTAGGATTTCAAGGCCTTGGTCATGACCCTTCGAAATCTTAGATCTCAAACTCAGTCTTAGACTTGGTTTCAAACTTGGTCTTAAACGTAATCTTAAACTTGGTATCATTCAATAAATTTTTTATCATTCCAATTGTGATTTTGGGGGATTTTTTAACCTACAACATCTTGGGGAGTTGGTTCCTTACATTAGCCTTCATGCAAAGCCTCAAACTCGGACTCTAGATAAAAGTGGCCAAGAGACACTACTTATGCTACCATGGAGCTTGAGTCAAAGATATTTAATGAGGTTAGTATCTCATTCATTGATGAGCTCATTCAAGACTCTCTTTCAGCTCATCCCTATGTAAGCCACAAAATTTTCCTTTCCAATTTACTAGCTTATCTCGTCTATCAGACCACCATGGCCTTGGCCTTAGTTAAGTTCCCTTGCCAAGGTTCCTGCCTATTGTATCAACTCTTATTTAGTCCTATTTGGTTTCAACAATTCATTACACGAGCAATGAAGTGTTAGCCATCCATCCATGGATTCCCAAATTCTCTCCCAATCCCCTTCCCCAAGTTAAATTGGATTTAAGGTTCGGCTACACTCCCCACAGGCACAAGCAGCCAAGAACATTCAGATTCCTAACATCCATTAGTACAACAAGACTTGATCATAAAACCCTTTAAATCCCAAGCCTTGGGTGCAACATTTGCTTAGGGACATCAGGGGGAAACACCATGGCCTAACGGCCTAGTATGGGTACCCCTACTCCCCCACTTCCATCCTAAAGGGAAGGCTCAAGCCTTTAGGAAGGGCGAAGACCAATAAGCCATAAGGTACTCAAGTGGGGCACCATTCCACATGAGCCAGGAGCACTATAGTCAATTTCCCTTCTAGGAGTGGGAATTGCTCTTGAGGACTTCCTTGGGTGGCCCTTCCAACACCACTCGAGTCCATGCTCACTCCCACCCAAGGCCCCTTAGCCCTAGTTTCAACCTCAAGTTAATTTGGAAGCACCACTAGAGAGTTCCTTCAAGACTGATTCCTAGACCTCACTATCCCTACTATACTTTTGGAACCCCCTACAGCCCCCCCCCCCCCCCCCCCAGGAGACACATGCTTTGGGCTTTCACCCCACGACTTGTATTAGTATTTAGACTCGGTCTTGGTCTCGATCTCAATCTCGGACTCAATCTTGGACTCAATCTCGGACTCAGTCTTGGACTTGATCTCAAACTCGATCTCGGACCCGACCTCAGACTCTATCTATAAGTGATTAATTTTTCTATTCTACTTTAGTCACTTAACCACATCTCCGACCACTTGGAAGAGTCTCACTCACAACCTCCATAAGCCCTATTTCGGACTTGGGTTTGCTAGCCCCAAGAATGGCATCCCTACCACTCAACCTTTGCACTTGGTCCAAGTGCTTCACATGTCCGATCCCATGGCCGACACCCCAAGGTACCATCGATATATCAGCTTGTTATGCTAAGGCTATGCCCCTTCAACTTGGCCACACTGGTGGTCTAACACCACCTACATCACAGTCCCATCTCTCAAGAACTGGGCCATCCATCCATGAGTGATCATCTTAGATCCACTCCTTAGCATCTGTAAGCAACCAAAGGGAACGACTTGAAAGACGATTTGTTGGATTTAAATATAAAAGGAAAGGGCACATGAATAAGAGTGCACCCCCTTTTCCAATCGATTAAGGGTCTTGGGATATTTGGGGTTAAGTGTCCTTGGGTTTAAATAGTACTGGGCTGAGTAAGCTCCTGGGAAGTCCAAATTTATGAGCTTACATTTGGTATTAGAGAGGTCTCGAGTCCGACTCTGTTGGTTCGTTAGGGGAATCACACCACATGTTGATTGACATCTGGCTGTTCCAGTTTGCTCCCGCTAGGCTCAACCTGAGGGGTAGGGTGTCAAAAGAGCGAGGCTCTCAAAAGAGTTGCGGCTCTTAGCTTTCGTTCACAAGGGCGTGAACTTGCAGGGAAGTGTGGTGGATTGTAAGCAACCAAAGGGAACGACTCGAAAGACGATCCGTTGGGTTCAAATATAGAAGGAAAGAGCCCATGAATAAGAGTGCGCCCCCTTTTCCAATCGGTTAAGGGTCTTGGGATATTTGGGGTTAAGTGTCCTTGGGTTTGAATAGTACTAGGCTGGGTGACCTCCCGGGAAGTCCAAATTCATGAGCTTACAGCATCCTTAGGATGCCCATAAATATGGGGATTAGCCTTCCCCAATATCCCTTTTCCAGTCCTCACCAAGTCCCTTTATGTCCATGGCCGTGTTTGCCAACACTACCACTGGATCAAGGCCCACAAGCCTGAACATTAAGTCCCATGGTCCTCTAGGGCTTCCTCCTTATATGACCGTATCTTTGGTCTTTATACTAGAAGACAGCTCCTCTTTCTTTTCATAGTCTGGGACTTTGGGGCAACATTTCAGAACACCATGGCCTTACGTGAGCTTCGTGGGTACTCTCCCCGCCTTCTGCCTTTGGGTGCTCTAGCCATGGGCTTAGAGCGAGGTTCTGTTGAGCCATGCCAGGTATCTAAGTAGGTAGTGCCACCCACACTTGGACTGGGAGCATTGACCATTTGATCTCTCGGGGGAACTAGAGCCGACTCTTGAACACTTCACTAAGCTACCCCGCTTGTTGGTCTGTATTCACTTTAGTTTTGGACTTCCTAGTGGTTAGCTCATCACCCAACATTGGGTATGGCCTTCTTGGGCCAAACTAGCCTTTCTTGGCCAAACTAACCTTTCCTGGCCAAACTGGCTCCACTAGGCTCCAACCCCCACACTCTCCCTATTAACCCTTTGGGAACCCCCCGTAGCCGCCCCCCCCCCCCCCCCCCCCCCCGATTTTGGTATTGGCTTGGGTTCTTCCAGCTCCCCTACCCCCCCCCCCCCCCCAACCCTCCCGCCCCGTCCCCCCCAGTTGACCCCCCCCCCCCCCCCCCCCACCGCCCGCCCCCCGCCCATATCCCCCCCCCCCCCCCCGCCCCCCACCCCCCCCCCCCCCCCCCCCGAGACCCCCACCGCCCCCCCCCCCCCCCCCGTACCCCCCCCCCCCCCCCCTTCCGGCCCCCCCGGGGGGACGATCACTTTGGGATTTTGCCCAACAGCCTATATTAGTATTTGGACTCGGACTCGGACTCAAACTCAGTCCCGGTCCCAGTTTCGGACTCGGACTCGGACTCGAACTCAGTCTCAATCTCAGTCTCGGTCTCGTTTCCATCTCAGACTCCATCTCGGGTCCATCTCGGACTCCATCTCGAACTCCATCTCGGGTCCATCTCGAACTCCATCTCGGGTCCATCTTGGACTCCATCTCGGGTCCATCTCGGACTCCATCTTGGGTCCATCTTGGACTCCATCTTG